CTGAGTTAAATAGTAATCCATCCGTCAGTTCTAATGAGAATACGTTCACGAGCTATTTTTGCATACATAATGAGCCCATGACCTTTGACCTTTGACCTCATAACCCAAGAATCTACTCAGTTCATTGGCTCTGCAAGATACATACATGACCTAAGTTTGGCAGGAATCCATCAATCGATTCTTGAGATAACGCGATCACAAGCTGTTTTTGCATACATAATGAGCCCTTTGACCTTTGACCTCGTGACCCCCAAATCTAATCAGTTCATCAGCTCTGCAAGATACATACATGACCAAAGTCTGGCAGGAATCCATCAATCGATTCTTGAGATAACGCGATCACAAGCTGTTTTTGCATACATAATGAGCCCTTTGACCTTTGACCTCGTGACCCCCAAATCTAATCAGTTCATCAGCTCTGCAAGATACATACATGACCAAAGTCTGGCAGGAATCCATCAATCGGTTCTTCAGATAACGCGATCACGAGAACGGGAAGTACGGACGTACAGTACATGTACATGTACATGTACGTACGGACGGACGGACAACCCAAAAACATAATGCCTCCGGCTACTTCGTAACGGAGGCATAAAAACTATGAATGTTGATCAAATTATTTATGTGAAGTGGGCACTCAATTCCAGTCACTCAACACTGCAGTTATTATCTAGATAAAGGATTTAAAGAGTATTTTATATAATTTGGTCAACTTTTTTTATATGAAGAGGGCGCATGACTCCTATCAATCAATGCCTGTATCTTAAATTAATAAAATTTCTTTGCAGTTTCTATCTAATTATAAAGCACTCTTCGGTCAACTTTTTTATATGAAGGGGGCACATGCTTCCTATCACTCAATGTCTGTATCTTATTAGTTATATTACTCTGCAGTTTTGTATCTAAACATAAAGCACTCCCTGTCCAACTTTTGTATATTAAGAGGGCACATGACTCCAATCACTCGTCCCTATCTCATTATTAGATTCACACTGCAGTTTGAATCTATGAATAAAGTATAAAGCAATCCTTGTCCAACCTTTTTATATGAAGAGGGCACATGACTCCAATCACTCGTCCCTATCTCATTATTAGATTCACACTGCAGTTTGAATCTATGAATAAAGTATAAAGCAATCCTTGTCCAACCTTTTTATATGAAGAGGGCACACGCCTCCAATCACTCGTCACCTGTACATGTACATCATGTATCTCGTTATTAAAGATAAAGACCAGTTCTGGTCATGGGATTGCATTGTGAAAGAAACTTTGTGGAATCAATCAGAAAAGGTTGATCATCTAGCATATAAGTATTGGTGTGTACTGCAAGGTTCTGGAATCATCAAAATGATAAGAAATTTGGCCCAGTTTTGGAAAAGTTACAAAGCACTGTACACAGAAAGATGTTTATGGAACTACGCGACACGTGCGTTATATCTATCAGGTCCAAATAGATATAATAATTTACCAAATATATCAATTAGTAGGCGGTTTTTCTGCAAAATTTGTATGCTCACGTATTAGTCAAAACATATTCTTTCACATGATTGGTAATGGTATTATAAGAGCTTCCATTTCATTTTTTGAGAGGGGGGCATTTCCAAAACTCAAATTCACCCTGCAGTTTGTATCAAAATATAAAGCGCCCTTTGATCAACTTTTTTATATGAAGAGGGCGATGACTCCAATCCCTTATCACCTGTATCTCGTTATTACTGTAGCTCCACACTGCAGTGTACATACCAAGCCTAGCTACACTGTGTCATGTGATATCTAAGGTAGATTGGAAACTACACACTGTACATGTTCACACTGGTTAGTAATGAAAGATGATCGGACGTCAAAAGAATTTTCTCTGCCTTTCTTCATCTTGTAACCTGAACAGCCATCCAGTTTATTGCCTGCACCATAATTTATCATCTAGAGTTACATTTTTAAAGTTGTACATATTTTTTATGGTTTTAAAGGTATAGACCAGTTTTGGAAATGCCCCCCCCCCCCCCTCTCAAAAAATGAAATGGAAGCTCTCATTTAATACCAATCACGTGAAAGAATATGTTCTGACTAATACGAAATGATACAAATTTTGCCGGGAAACCGTCTACTAATTGATATAATTGGTAAATTATTATACTGTATACACATGTACATGTACATGTACATGTACATCTTCCTGTGTACATTGCTTGTAACCTTACCAAGACCGGGTCAAATTTCTTATCATTTTGATGATTCCAGAACCTTGCAGTACACACCAATACTTATATGTACATGTACATGCTAGATGATCAACCTTTTCTGATCGATTCCACAACGTTTCTTTTACTATGCAATCGCATGACCAGAACTTGTCTACACCTTTATACACAAGCTTGTTTTTTTATTCACTCTAGTAGAAGTGTTGCAGTGATTTCTAAATTTATTTTTTCCACTAGATCTACATGTAATATCAGTTGTCCATTTTTTCAGAGCATTTTGGAGCGTTTTAAAGGTACAAGTCATTACTTGTAGATATGCCATGCGGGTGCATTAAAATTTGAGGTTACCCCAGCTTGTATAAAAAATTAATGATTGCCCAGCTTGTAGTTTTAAACGTGGAATAAAATATGTACATGTAGTTATTTTGGTCCTGTACATGTATGAACTATGAACCCTTGTCATTGTCTGGGGAAAATTGTTTATTTAACTTTAAGGTTTCAAAAGCTTTAATTTGATGGTCCGGTGTAAACATAGCCATTGTATAAAGGTAATATCTGTGAAAGCTATCTGAACTAGAACACAAAATCACAAAATCCCCTCTAGTGCCATCTCAGGTCAGCTGTAGGCAGTATGGTCCTGTAACTCGCTGTTTCCCTAGCTGCTCTGGTGGTTCTCGCATCAAGTCCGCTTTCTGCTAAGTAGAAATTAAGTATTTGGTAAGCACTGTTCAAGTTGACCATGAGATAGCACTGTGCAATAAACAGTACGATATGGGCCTTAAGTTCATCAGTACGGTATCGCTTTAAAGGTAAAGACCAGTTTTGGAAACGCCCCCCTCTCAAAAAATGAAATGGAAGCTCAGATTTTTACCAATCATGTGAGAGAATATGTTTTGACTACCGTAATACGTGATGATAACAATTTTGCCGGGAAATTGCCTACTAATTGATATATTTGGTAAATTATCTATCCAGACCGGGTAGATATCGCGCATGTGTCGCGTAGTCCCATATACATCTTTCTGTGTACAGTGCTTGTAACTTTACCAAGACTGGGCCAAATTTCCTATCATTTTAATGATTCCAGAACCTTGCAGTTCACACAAATGCTTATATGCTAAATGATCAACCTTTTCTGATCGATTCCACAAGGTTTCTTTCGCAATGCAATCGCGTGACCAGAATTGGTCAACCTTATAACATGAGTTGTACTCTTGTCATAAGAGGGCACAGTGTCATACTATGACAATCATTTGAACACCATTCTTCAAATTCTATGTCAGCAGTATCGAATGACAGCTGACCAGGAGTTGACTGTACTGTAATGCACCCTAGAGACTAGATAGAAAGTTGGCAGTGAGAAAGAAAGAGAGAAATAGATGAGAGAAAAACAGGTTTAGAAAGGAGAGAGATATAGCAAGTGAGAAGAGAGAAAGAGAGTGAGAGAGAGAGGGAGGGAGGGAGAGAGAGAGGGAGAAAGAGTGAGGGAGAGAGAGGGAGGGAGAGAGAGAGAGAGAGAGAGGGAGAAGGAAGGGATATTGGGGTAATGTTAACATGAACCTTTTGCAGCTTGTTTAATGATGACCTTTTTCACGGCAAGAAACTTTCACAAGTTGCAAGAATTTAATTTGACAGTGTACATCAATTATATCACGGCATGAAGCTTGTGAATCTGGACCACTCACAAAATTGTTGAAAAGTTCATGCACGCAAAAATTACTTGTTGTACATGTATATAATTCTGTATATATCTCTTCAAAATTGAATGTTTTTGGTAAGATGTTAATCCACATTTGCCTCTCCCCACCCAGGTGTTAATGGGTACCCATATAGTATGCTAGTGCACTACATTTTTGGCCGCTTGGCTAGGAGCACCAAGAGCATTGTGGAGTGATAGACACATGAGGGTTATAGAAGCCGTCATTACTATGTGCTTGTTGTTGATTAAAGACATCTTTTAACAATGTTAACTTTGAGATGCATGGCCCTACATGTTATCAGTGTCTGTGATATGGTGTTATATTGAAGCCCTAAAAAAATTGCGATTCAAAATGATCATGAAGTGTCTCAAAAAATCTTTGAGTGAACGGTTTTACCACACTTATTTTCTCCACTAGACCGTAGTGTTATAAAAACCGTGAGGAAAACAAAAAAAATGAAATGTTTATTTCCAATCAGAAATATCTTGAAAATCAGACAGGCGATCGGCTTGTAAAAGTCATAAGATTCCTGACTGACCTAAAGGTTAATAATTGTGATTGTAGCATGAGCTAAATCCAAGATTTTGTTTCAGAATCTGAGGCAATGTTTAATAAAGTCGCTTTAAAGGTATAGACCAGTTCTAGTCATTCGATTGCATTGGGAAATAAATGTTGTGGAATCGATCAGAACAGGTTGATCATCTACATGTACATGTAGCATATAAGTATTGGTGTGTACTACAAGGTTCTGGAATCATCAAAATGATAAGAAATTTGGCCCAGTTTTGGTTTACTGTAGTTACAAGCTCTGTACACAGAAAGATGTATATGGGACTACGCGATATCTATCCAGTCCTGATAGATTATGATAATTTACCAATTATATCAGCTACATGTAGTAGGCGGTTTCCTGGCAACATTTTTATCATCACGTATTAGTCAAAACATATTCTTTCACATGATTGGTAATAAGAGCTTCAATTTCATTTTTTGAGAGTGGGGCATTTCCAAAACTGGTCTTTACCTTTAATACAATCATATGATATCTCTTTTCCCCCTCCATATTGTTTTTTAACATTTTTGGTCTGATCTTCCCTTTCAGGTTATCGGACATGAATACGATACCATCACCAAGGACATGTCTACACCCTACTTCGAAACCATTTACTCCCTCCTTGATCATTACAGTCCTAAGTATAGGCTGACATTCGGCCAGGCTCTCGCTGATAAACTGCAGGAACTCCAAGAGACTGAGATAGGAAACAGCGAGGATGAGGAAAAGTAGGCGGGGAAAGTGCTCTACAACTCTCGAGACTGAAAAATAGCTTTACGTTTAGAACATGGAGAGCTGTAGGTGATAAGTAGAATCTGCCCCCTTGAGGAAAAGGAACAGAATTAATTCCAGTGTCGGCCAGGCTCTCGCGGATAAACTGCAATTTACTCCAAGAGACGGAGATAGAAAACAGCGACAATGAGGAAAAGTAGGCGGGGAAGTGCTCTACAACTCTCAAGACTGAAAAGAGGCTTTACATTTAGAACACGGAGAGATGTATGTGATGAGTAGAATCTGCACCCTTGAGGAAAAAGAGCAGAGATAATTTCGTCGTCTCCTTATCAAGTTTCCCACCGAAATAGAAGAATATTGGAAAGAGAGGAGAGAGAGCGGATGAATGAAAGGCACATTCTGCAAACCCCAGCAAGGAATGAAAATATCGAGATGGAAAAATAAGAGGGGAAGTTGTCTTTCATTCTCCTGTTTTCTATTGGAGAAGAACCTTGAAAAGTAGAAAGTGATTGTCAAACCCTGCAACCTTCAGGTGACAGAGGTAGCAAAAATTAGATGAGGATGAGGATTACTGGAGAGAGAAATGCCTGCTTCTTCAGCATCCGATTGAACAAAAGAATACTTAAAGGAATAATGAGACGGTTTTATAGGACTTTGGAACTTTCCATGATTGTGGCAAAATGTGATCGAGAAGTTATGGCTTGAGGAAAAGAGAAAGGATGACAGACGGAAGATGTTATGGAGAAGGAGGACAGTTGGAAGGAAAGGAAGGGAACGGGGGCATTTCACAAAGCCTTTTTTCAATGACAAATAACAAAAATCAGTGACAAATCTGCTGAAAACCAATCAGAAGCGAGGATTTCAGTAGCTTATAACACAAATTGTCATTTGTCACTGATGACAAGTTTTGTGAAACGTCCCCCTGATTTGTCCTCGTCATCTGTGGATGCTGGAGGACCTAAAAATGAATATCCAGAGATGTGTTCTTCTCAAAATCAGTTTACCATGAGTCTGCCTTCCCAAGTACTATCAGTCTTTGTATTATGAAGTTAATAATTAGTTATTGCTGTGAGTACTGAAGATGAGAATGATGATGATGATGGATGATGGACGATGATGATGATGATGATCATGGTGATGATGATAATGGATGATGATAATGGATGTTGATGATGGCATTGATGTAACAATGAAAAAATAAATTCAATATCAGTTTTCACAAGTTTAAACTGATATATACTAACATTATAATGGTATAATTTACAAGTGGAGATGAAGGAAATTAAATCTACAACTGAACAAATGCTGTGGTGAATGAGGAGTGAGCGTGTTTTACCTACCTATAAATCTATTATAGTTGACATTCTACTAAGCCTTTAAATTAAAACGACTCGTCGTAATATTTCATGCATGATCATGTCTTGAATTGTCTTCTGTAACTACATCTCTATGCTGCATTGATATTGAAACATTTCATAAAAGATTGTAGTAATTAATAATATTGATGTATTTATGTAGTCGGTTTTGTCTAAATGTATTGATCTTCCATGACTAGCAACACATACTCATTGAGTAATTGTACAAATTATGCAATTTCTTTTTCAGTATTGGCCAATTTATATACAAAGAAATAGTTTGGTGGTCTACTGTTTGTGTATGATTTTGCTTCATATTAAAATTCTAGTGACATACATGTATGGGCTCGTGGTATAAAACTTACCATTGACGGTATCAAACTCTGCCATCAATGGCAACTTCAATGGTAACAGGCCGGGCTCAACAGCCAATCAAAATCAAGGTTTCCATGGTAGTTACCATTGATAGCAAAGTTACCCTAAAATTTGTATTGTTTTTGTGCAACGGGCCTGGTATTGAAAAGTGTATTTTGATTTTAGTTCACGTTTTAACAAACTTTTCAACCAAGCTTTCAGCATGTTCACAATGCTACTAAGCATTCATTCAAACTGTACTATACTATACTGGAAGAAGAAGAAGAAGAAAAAGAAACTCTTTCGATGGATTGAGACACTTTTGTACTTGTTTAAATAAGAATCATCCACATATAGTGAGAAGAAAAGAGAGAATTCCAGTTCATGAATTACCTTTTCATTAATTCAGATTTTTTTGTTATTGTTTCAGAGAAATTTGAGGGGGATATTGTTGAATGTAAAAAGTAAGTAAATATTAACACGTTCTGCATTGTAAAGCTGACAGTTTTGAAGTGAGAATTGGGCTAGTTTTCTAAAAGGTGGTTCATATTACAATACATAGTAAGAAGATCATGTAAAACATTGTCACTCACTTATGAGCAAAATAAGTTTTCTTGTGAATAGAGGTTATACAAGATCTTCCTAAACTTGTTGAATCTGTGAGTTACATACACATGGACATGTGGTCATGTACAGTGTATGTGGCTAAAGACATACAATGTACATGTATATCTTTAATAGGCTGAATATGCTTTTTTCTTCTTTTCAAACCCATTTCTTGCCTGCAAACGTTGTTTTGGCCTTTTGGAAACAGAAAAAAAAATGCTTTGGCAGTGCAAGGTACAGGATGTTTGTTTCAATTATTTATATTTTGCTAAATATATCTGTAGATTGTATTTACAATGTAGTTTGAAATGTATACTTTGTAGACAACAAATTTGCTATTTGTTGATTTTCTTCCTGTTTTTTTCCCGGAATTTTTCATTTTTTAAAATAATTTTCAGCTTGTGTACATGCAAATATCAAAGGGAATGTACCGCACTGATAGGATTTAGGAGACAGTAAAGAACATCTATTTTTAAAGTGTACTAGAGAGGTATAGCAGTACACGTAAAATATATAGGGGGTGTAGAAAGAGAGAGAAAGAGAGAGAGAGAGAGAGAGAGAGAGAGAGGTAATAAAGGAGGGAGGAAGGGAGAGAGGGAGGGAGAGAGAGAGGAGGGAGAGAGAGAGAGGGAGAGAGAGAGAGAGAGAGAGAGGAAGTAGAGGGAGGGAGAAAGAGAGATAGGGGGAGGGGAGTTGTAGGAATTGGAGGAGGGAGCGAGAGAGAGAGAGGGATGTAGGAGGGAGAGAAATAGGGAGAGGGAAGGGGAGAGAGAGGGAGAGACGGGGGGGGGGGGGGGGGGGGGGGGGGGGAGGAAGGGAGGGGAGAAAGATGAAAAGTACTTATTCTAGATGGCAACCAGAATACGCTCTGGTTGGCAAGTGATGTTTGATTCACCTACCAGTATCTCAAAAGCAGTGTCAAATAATACTAAAAATGTTTCTTATTGTGAGATGATAAGTTATAAAATCTGGATTAAGCCTTTAAGAAGCTTCAAATGGTGTATGAATGCCAAAAATCCTTTAAGCTGCATATATACCATGGTGTATACATGACGTTCCTGCTTGTAATCAATGTACAGTACACAATGTAAATGAGCTGGTACTATGTAAAATATTGTGATTCCCTTATATATCGTCGCTGTTTTCATGAAGTGACGGTAGTGAAAAAAAATTGCATTCACTTTGCGTTACGATTTTCCTCACTACCGTCACTTCGTGAAAACAAGGACGATATTTACTCTGGAGAGAAATCCATCTACATATACTTTAAGATTTCAAATAACCAATTTCTAAAGATGACAATTTCACTTTCTGACATGTGGACAAAATTACTCAAACAATCATGTGATATTCCATTTCAATTTAACATATCAATACATTAGTGTACACGTGTCAGCTGTGTCAGGTTAAGTTCAACACACACTATATGATCCTTCTGCAATTCATAATTAAATCAATCGCAGTAGAATTGGATTTGGAAAGTTAAACATAAAATATCTTCCTGATTGGAGTTCCGATATGATAACCAACAATCAATGTTTTAGTTGCCGTAAAAATGCCAGATCGGCTTAAAACGTAGACACTCAAACGACTGAAATAATGTCCCTGCAATTCTGAGCCGACATGAATTTTACTTACCTCAAGGAAGCTTGTAGTCCCCTGCAATAATTATTTCATTATTCCTTTAAGAATTTTGAACCTCAATTATTAAATATGTCATGTTTGAATGTTCATGTCAAAAACTATTGCAAATTTGTACCAAGATTATCTTATTTTAATGTGATGGCAAAGGGATGAAAATGTAAAAGGACAGAAAAAATGGATGAAATGTGTCTTCTTTTGTCTTCATATCTTGTAAAAGAAAGCTCAGTACTCTGATGAACATATGAACAGGGAATATTATCATATATGCACTCGTTTTCACTTCCGGTACAGGAACATTCAATAAAAAAGTACTCTTTCAAGCAAAATTGACATTGGTCTACAAAATGCCTAATTTGTATAGGAGTGAATTACTGGTAGACTGAACGTGAGATGGAGAGAGAGAGAGAGAGACAGGGAGAGAGATAAGAGAGAGAGAGAGAGAGAGAGAGAGAGAGAAGGAAATAGAGAGAGGAGGGAGAGAGAGAGAGAAAAGAAGGAAAAAGAAGAAAATAGAGAGGGAGAGAGAGAGAGAGAGAAGAGAAGAGAGTGTGAGAGAAGAGAGTGAGAGAGAGAGAGAGATAGAAGGAAATAGAGAGAGAAGGAAGAACGAGAAGAGAGAGAGAGAGAAATAGAGAGAGAAAAGAAGGAAAAAGAAGAAAATAGAGAGAGAGAGAGAGAGAGAGAAGAGAAGAGAGTGTGAGAGAGAGTGAGAGAAGAGAAGAGAGTGAAAGAGAGAGAGAGAGAGAGAGAAGAGAGAGAGAAGAGAGAGAGATAGAAGGAAATAGAGAGAAATAGAGAAAGAGAGAGGAAGAGAGAGAGAGAGGAAGAGAGAGAGATGTAGAGATTGTATTCATATTGAAAACCCATTTTATAAATTGAATAATTTATGATTTGAAGCTTTTGCATTATAGTGACATGCATTGCACTCGGTTAACTCAAAAGCCGGATAATGAACTCCACAAGACTTCATTTTCTGATTGTGATTTAACCTGTGTGAAATGCACATTCACTTATGCACTTGATCGCGAACATGAATTATTTTTATAGTAAATAGTTAATACTTTCCCTATGAAATGTGAAAGAATACAGTACACTTGATAAAATGTCCTCTTTATACATACAGTATTTATTTTATTTCCTTTTGAAACGAACGAATATGCACTTAAAACTGTACATGTAATTGCATATTATAAGTATATACAATTCATTATTCATAAAATATTTTTACTTTACATTTTCCCTTTTCTTACAATGCATTTTAATCTATGTCAATTACGACTATAAATAGTTATAATATATTTGTTGAGATAATTATGATTCACATGACAAAATAATTGCTTAAAACGGACTAAAATACGCAAATAAAATAATCATTTTTTCTTGAATATATCCTAATTGGGCTATGTTGAAGTATATGGCAGTGGCCATGAATGTGATTCTGCGGACAGCACTCAATATTTTAACTATGTTCTTGAGTTCTGATATTGACCAGTGTTTATTATGAAGTAAAAATCATTAATAGAACCCAAAATAACTTTCCCATAATATTTCATGCCAAATAATTATATAATATTGACTGGCCTTGAGGGGTATATCAGAAATATTGACCAAGCTCAGATCTTAGCGCGGTCAATATTTCTGATATCCCCCGAAAGTAAAGCCACTCAATATTTTTATTGTTATCCAAATCAGACATCTAGAGCAAATACAGACATCCACCATGACAATCTCAAGAACTGAACAAACTTTGTCAAACCAACACTGTGCATCAAGTGCTTGACAAAATTTTCGATACACTACAAACAGTGTGTATTTGGTGTGATTATTACGTCACAATAGAGTGCGCGCAAAGTGCGCAGGTTCTCGTACGCATAATATTAATAGATGCGCAATGAAAATGCGAGACCGTGGAAAATACCAAGGTATATTTTCACTCGTCTCTACACGCAAAGTCAATACGCGCAGGGAGACCAAGGAAAATACAAAGAATATACCCCTCCGTTCCCACTGCCAGTGAAAACTAGGGCAATACGGTTTTGTAAATGACAAGCTCAGATGTCTGATACGGGTAATAATGACAAATAGTGACTGCTGAGCATTATTAAACACTTTGCTTGCTTTCTGCGTCTCTCTACACGGTTTCTCGTTCGCCACATCTGCAGTTTCGCACAAACATGTGCAACAACTGACAGAACTGACAGTTAAATCATCTTGAAGCCAATAGTGTATCTATCTCTTGATAAATACAATGTGGTAATACAAAGTGGTACAGGGAGATTACTCATGGTGCATAAAAGAGTTAAAAACATTTCCATGTAATCACGACACTGGGAAACATCCAACATTGGGAGAAGAAAATATTTGGTATTAATATTTAAAAACATGTGCATTCTGACTCACAAAAATACAGTGAAACCTGTCTATAAGGCATTAAAAAAAAGGTGTTGTATTGCCCTTTGTGACCAGCCCCAAAATTCTTGAATTCTACAGTCAGATTAAAAAAAAGATTTCTTTTTTAAAACAGTTTTTTTTCTAGAAAAAAAAGTTGAATTAATAACAAAATATGTATTAAAGCATTTAAAACTGAGAAATATCAGCCCAAAGAGGGAGGGGAAAAAAAAGAGAGTAAAAAAAATAGAAGAAAAGATTTCTGACCGACCGACTGACCCATGTTTTGGCACCTAAAGGTCAATACAACATTTTTTTTAAAGGCCTAAAGACCACCCAAGGGATACAAGAAAAGTGGTCTTCATGGGTACAGGTGCCTATAGTACATGTACAGTACAAGAAAAAAAAAAGTTGAATTAATAACAAAACATGTATTAAAGCATTCAAAACTGAGAAATATCAGCCCAAAGAAGGAGGGGATGACATCATTAACTTGCTAGTACAGCCTTTGCATTAAATAAAAATGTCCTGTTACTCACTGGAAGATGTTGCAATAATGCTCTCATTTTGACATTGTTCTGAACAATATGAAACATGCACTACTTTTCTATGCAGAATCCCACTAAAGACATCATAAGGATTACACACTTGTAACATTATCACGTACGATAGACCCCATGGGATGAAAATGGACAGGTGGTTTTGGGCCGTTTAGTTGCTAAGGGGTTAAACTGATGTGAAGCTATCACTATTGCATAAATGTCAATCATGAGTTGCTGTATCAAACTGCTCTATTTCACAAGCACCAAATGAAAACATACCGGTACACACTGTTGGTGGTGGTGAGTTTTCATGAAACGTATTAAGCATACATGTAGTTTTTAATACCAAATTATACTTAAATGTTAACAAATTCATCATGTGTCAATTCAGATATCTGCTTTATAGACAGTGTCCTTTTGCTATCCTAATAATATGCACAGGGTCATATGAAATAAAAAAACAACAACAACAAATTATTTAAAAAATCTTACTATAAAGACCTATTTTGGGACTATATTTCAATTGTGACACCTAAACCCAGGTATTGGAACAATAATATATTAAACATCTTTAGTATTCAAACACATAAGATATATTACAACCCCTTCCAGCCAGTTAATATCTGTTATATTGGATAACCTTCATTACTCTTTGTTAAACAAAATATTTGTTAACTGCGATCTTATGCCTTGTTTTTTGCTTGAGCCGTCCAGCCTTCCACGTCAAATGCCCATTGCTAAGACAATGCAAACAACGTGCGCGTGGTACTATGGACACAGTTGTGTGGATACCGTGTGATGCAAAAATAAACTCTTTTGACAAGTAGTGAAAACACAGCCTTGGAAAAAATGACCGGGAGTGAAATATGTCAATTCTGATCCTCGCCATCTCTATCACGTGACAAGCTATGGACCAATCATATCTGTGTACCTTTTCTAAATATTGCATGACAAGTACAGGCCTAGATATTAAATACAAATTGAGATGGTGTCATTGAAGAAAGTCCACCACCTCATCCAGCTCTCTCCTCCTTGCCTCCTGGTGTGCCCATCTATCCTCAGCGACCTTTGGGGTGATGTTCCATTTGTCATGATAGATCCTCTTCTGGCACGATGGACACTTCTTGCCTCCTGTTTAATACGGACAAAAAGAGGGGAAAACATGATACAGTCAAACCTGTTTTAACAACCACCTGTCTACAAAGACTACCTGTCTACAAAGACCACCTGTCTACAAAGACCACCTGTCTACAAAGACCACCTGTCTACGAAGACCACCTGTCTTCAAAGACCACCTGTCTTCAAAGACCACCTGTCTTCAAAGACCACCTGTCTACAAAGACCACCTGTCTACAAAGACCACCTGTCTTCAAAGACCACCTGTCTATGAAGACCACTTTTTTTTGTTTCCCTTGTTGAAAGACGTACTAAAGGAACCTGTCTGCAAAGACAACTTTTCTTGTCTCCCTTGGGTGGTCTTTATAGACAGGTTTAACTGTAATAATAATAATAATAATTAAACGTTTTGTGCATAGCGCATAACACATACCGTAATAAATTGCCCTGGTGTATGAACCACACCCTCCTTTTACGCCGGGGGAAAAAAACAAAAACAAACTCTGTTAGAATCGTTGGCGTTCCAGGTTTTTATGACAAAAAGTATTAAAGCAAACGGAAAGAAAGAAATGAATGAAGAAAAAGAATGCCGAAATCACCGGCATTTGAGGAAAAAAAAAGAAAAGTGAAATTCTAAATTAGTTCTTTCAAATGTTGTTCAAACTAAACCTTTTCATTTTTTGGGCCTGCAAATGGGACATAGTACCTAGGACAAGTCCACTTGGAAAATTACTTACTTTCAATAAAAGCAGAAAAATCAGACAAACCAATCAAAAAAAGTTTAAGCAAAATCAGATAACTAATAAGAAAGTTATGAATTTTTGGAAAAGTATGTAAAACTATGGAACAATGAGAATCACAACACACATTGCCAAGATGGTTATCAGTTTGTGACGTCATGTCCTCACTATTTATCAATTGCTCTACCGGTATTTGGTTTAATCCCATTAATTCCCCTTTTTACTCCCCAAAACTTGAATTCCCCATGCCTTTGACAGGTTATATGATTTGTATCATATTGCGTGCATGACATTTCACAAAATCTTTTATGAACTTTGAAGAATTTATACTATTTTCTGAATATTGTATATTCATAATTATATACCTCACTTAAGTAATCCAGCAATCTGATTGGTCGAAATTGCATTCATAAACTTTAACTGTTCCCGAAAATTCCCGGTAACCATGGTTAAAAAACAGTTCAAAATCCCAATAACCATGGTTATTGGGAAAATAGGTCAGTCTCCATGGTTACCCCATAGGTTTACATGTTAAAAAATGGTCTGAGCGATCGAGGATACCGTACGTGTGCGAAGAATTGGTCGGTAATTTCAATACAATTGATCTTACCGACAATTTTATCTTGCATTGTTGACATGAAGACGAAAATAAACTTCCAAAAGCAAAAAAACAACATCTGCTGATAGATCTTGATCTAAGCCCGTTTAATGGAGCAGCGGCGAAGCATCGACCACGCGAAGCCGTTTTCAATTCATTTTAATGTATATATTAAAGAAAACTACTGTACATTGTGACATAGCACGCTGGCCGAGCGGTTTGAGGCGCTGACTAAAGAAACATCACCTTTGGTACGCAAGAGTTCGAATCCCATCTTCGACAAAAGTTTTTTTTTTTTTTTTGGCATATAAAAGTATTAATGACTGCTTTAATATTCGAGAAATAGTTGTTTTTATACGCTCTCGGGAAGGTTACAATTGGGCTATTCCCCTCGGCACGCCTCGGGTGATAGCACAATTCTAACCTTCCCTTGAGCGTATAAAAACAACTATTTCTCTCAAAGCAGTCATTAATACTATATTATTGACTTTTATATTAAATAGTTTATCAAAATTCACATTTTTCATGATTTAACTGGAAAAAATTACTCTATATTAGTGCATCCACACAAAAACATATTACTTTTAATCTAACTTGGATGCTGGTGTGAAGAAATAAGATTCCTAAGGAGAAAATGGGAAAATTATATCATCAATTTAAAGAAAATAATTAGTGGATAGTGAGGACATGACGTCACAGACTCATGAGTGAGATGCCAATTTGTCTAGTGATTTTCAAAGTTTTTAATGTCACTAAAAATTCATAACTTTCTTATCAGTTGTCCGATTTTGCTCAGACTTGTTTTGATTGGTTAGTCTGATTTTTCTGCTTCTATTGAAAGTAAGTTATTTTTGGAGTGGACTTGGGCTTTAACGTCTAAATAGATAAATTTTAATCTGGGAGGGTGATCACCACAGAATACGTTGGCACATCTTCTTTTATTTTAAAACTTACCTGTAAAGGGCGGTGTTTTGAAGAATTCATCTAGACAACCTTTATGGAATAAATGTCCACAGTAGACCCACACTACGTATCGACCATGTGTATCATCTTTGACAGTGTGCTGTGAAAAGAAGAAGAAAAAGCATATGAAAAAAAGTAAAAAAATAAAGAAAAAAAGAAGAAAAACAAAGAAAAAAACATAGAAAGAAATAAGGAAAGAAAAGAAAAGGAAAAAAAAAAATCAAAAGAAAAAAAGACAAAAAAAAAAAAGACAAAAAAATAAAAAGGAAAAAGAAAGAAAAAAAAAAAAAAAGAAAAGAAAAGAAAAGGAAAGAAAAGAAGAAGATGAAGAAAAGAAAAGAAAAGAAAAGAAAAGAAAAGAAAAGAAAAGAAAAGAAAAGAAAAAAAAAATCAAATTTAAGCTTCATTTCCAAGATGAAAGAGTAAACCACCTTGTTTTGTGCTGCACAAAGATTCAATCAGTCCAATTTTGGCCATTTCAAGTAATGGGTTATTGATGTAGACATTTACTCATGTACCTTTTACAGTGCATTTTATATATGTCATTACCAAAGATAAAAAAGATGTCAGTCAGTCTCTCAATAGTGTCTGACAGTGAAGTCTAGAAGGTAAATAGGTTTCCTTGCATAATTTGAAAACTAGGACACTGCTTATATTTAAATTCCACAGGTAGGACATACATGTACAGTACATGACATATTCATAATTCCTGCAAAGTTCTACAGAATATGATGTTGGCTGCAAAAGGGACATAGTACCTTTTATAAGAAATGGTTATTATTATTAAGTAGTAGTATTGTTTCTATTATTCTTATTATTCTATTCTTGTTCTTCTTCTTCTTTTTATCATTATAATCACTATCATCATTATTATTATTGTTATTACTATTATTATCATTTAGTAGTAGTAGTAGTAGTAGTAGTAGTAGTAGTAGTAGTAGTAGTAGTAGTATTAGTGTTTGTAAAGAGGTATAAATCAACTAACTTCCGGATTAGGTGTGAAAGCTCTCTCTCTACAGACTGGACAGATTGATCCTGGGTAGTTGCGTAAACAATCAATCAGATAACTTGCTACTTTCTTCAGGGATGGAGCAGGCTCAAACGGAGGATCTCTGCAACGACAAAAATATAACACACATTATGAATCTTAGTGTCTTCAGGTTTCATATGAAAAACAATAATGATAACTATATCAGGTATTACATTTTCACATATTCCACAATTACACAAATGTTTTTGGCCAGCCACACAGAATTGATGAGGAAATCCTGAACTACCATATCAGGGGATGTTTCACAAAGACTAAGATCCATTTTAAGTTGGATTGATGTATGGCAGGCTGGTTGTTTACTATTTAAATCGGGTAAGTATCAGGCCTGATTCATGCCTGAGTGAATCTATAAATCATACTGGTTGGCATCTCTGCTCTATTGTTCATTATCTTCAACAATGATTATCTCATATGCAAAGTCAAATTTTCACGAAAACTTGACACTACCACTGGCCCCACCTGTAAAATGTTTTACTGGTAAAATGTTTGTTCTTTCATTAAAATTTAATGAGAAAATTGTAAAGCAAAGTTTTTTTGGGGGTTGTGTGGGGTTACTTGTATATTTTTCTATGTTTATATGGGTAAAAAAAAAAAAAAAAAAAAAAAAAAAAAAGTGTGTTTTTGTTTTTGTTGTTGTATTTTAAAAAGTTGTATTTTAAAAGGTGATATCGTATTATCGTATTTCACTTTTATTATCGTACTAAATATGATTTAATCATACTGGTTGGCATCTCTGAATATGTCTTACTTTGGTTTCTTTCTGAGTGGTGGTTGAACACATCGTCTGGCCATCTCTTCCGTCTGAGCCAAGAACATCTTGTGAAATAAATCAGGAAAGTTGTTTTCTACATTCTCTATCCTAGAAATCAAAATTATAATAAAGATTTACGGAAATAAGAAACCAATTACAAAGAAAAGAGAAAAAGGGGGCGAGCTGGGGGAAGATGATGGGGAGAAGAGAGAGGAAGAGGAAGGTTTAGTTGAGAAAAGGAACAAATACAAGAGTTTCATTCAATGTGCACATTTAACCCTTTGCTTACGGGAACCTGGTGGTCCCTGTGTTAAGCCTATGGGAGTTAGATAATTCAGTAGTCAACGGATTATGTTGTCCAACAACAGCATAATTTATGTTAACAAGAGAGGAGGGATGCCATCAAGCATTGTGCCAAGTTTCTGAGAATTGTTTGAGAATTGAGTCAACTTGCTTTTAAACCGTCCATACTGTTGTAAAATGTTTTGGTTATTCTTTGTGTTTTAAGTGTTGCACGTGGCACTATTATTGACTACTTGTATATGACTGAAAGGGGAATCAAAGTTGTATGATAAGAAAAGAGAAATATTTATTAATGTGAACAAAATAAAAAAATATATAAACTCACACTATTTGTTGCTCTGGATAGAGATCGGGGACCTTTAATCTGAATTTCATGAAGTATTCTGTTTCCCGTATCGTGATCACGATGACTCCTGACTTCTGCTTCATCTTAATCTCATCTTTCTCCGTGATCAGTTCACGTTTAATGAAAGACACCTCTTCACTGCATACACTGAATGGGTTGTCTGCCAAGAACTGCTGAACAAACTTTGCAATGTGAAGGATCTGTTTTTTTTTTAATAGTGCAGAAAGAAAAAAAACACATTATAAGTAGTGTAAGAGTTAAAATTAGACTCATTTCATACTTGTATTTTGCGCCATGATGACACTCCCTCCCTCCTCTCAGAAAATCCTTAATCGTGCACTTGCTTTTATAAACTCAATTTCAGGAGATAGCGTGTTTGGATTTCTAGTTAAGGAAATTATTCACCCTCTTCCTATCAAACACAAATACAGGGTGTCCAAGGAAAGCTCAATTTCACTCATTTGGGCAGAAATCCAGCATATTTTTAATTTTTACTTGTTATCCGGCATAAGAGTATCAATTGAAAGAGAAATCATGAATTTTCATGTTTTCTTTTTTTAAAGCAATTATGTTTACTTTTGTAATTACCCTAAAAACTCATTGCTTGAATATAGTCATGCATGAATTATGAATAATACTTGGGCATCAAATGAAAGAAGAGAAGCAGGAAATCCTCAAGGAAATTATTCGTTATGATAGAAAATTTCTGCCATGATTTTGTTTCAGAATCTGATGCAATGTTACCGAGTCACTTTAAAACGTCCTGTTTACCTGTGGTTTTCCCAGTAGAGTCTTGGCTTGTTCATCACAGATCTTGGTCAAGCCTTCCTTCAGTTTGTCTGGGACAGTCTTACTCTTTATCTCAATGATAATCGGTTCATCAGGGTACTTGTTTTGAAACTGCATGCAAACTTCCAACCTCTTGTATTTAGTTCTCCTAAACCACAGTAAAAAGCAAACATACAGTTAAAAAATATATTATTCATACCAATACAACCATACCAAGTTTTGTTTATAAGTAGGTGAAAAATTGATTTGTCTCTATTTATGTTTCTTGAGAATGTGACATATAAAAAGCTGACATCGAAAAGTATTCAAAAGTAGCCCTCATTCTTGAGTTGCGAAAAACACAAAAAAACGTAACGTTTCCAAGGAGTGTGAATAATTAAGTTATCAACTGTACAATTTAGTGTACATGTAAATATTAAAAAGAAATGCTACTTCCTATAATGATAATTAATGTAGAGGACAAGGAAAATCAGCTCTAAAACTTCATGGATTTCCTGGTTGCCATATCAGAACAACCATCGTCCTGGAAAACTACCCCCCAATTACAACCATCCCCCCTGCGGACAATTTCCCACACCCCTGAAAATTACCCCCCCCCCCCTCTAAACCTGTACTGGCCAACATGTACATGAATATACATGTAGCTAGCAGATCATTCAAGTTCTAACATATATTGTAGATGCTGAGAGAACAATGAGGCCATTTGGGTGTCAAACAGACCCATCGCAAACAACAACAAAAATTAAAATGACAACAACGACAATGAAAACAACAATGAAAACAACAACAACAATGAATGACAACAACAGTGATAATCTCAACAGCAAAGTTACAATGAATGACATCAATGAGATTGGCAACAACGGAAACAACAACATCATCATCAACTTACACAATCCTTATCCTAACAGCGGCAGGATGACAAGCCACAATCTCAGACCCAGGAATGTCATCAATGCATCGTTTTCTAACATCCTCCAATTCCTTGTTTATGAAATCCATATTTGACAGCATAGTCACTGTGAGTGAAAGAAACTGAAAAGAAAAAAAAAAAAAAAAAAAAAAAACCTCGGTTTTGTTATCCATATTTGAAGTAAGATTACTGAAAGATAAAGAAAAGAAAGAACAGAAAGAAAAGAAAAAACCAACCTTGTTTACCCCAGGCCCAGAGACTAAAGTTTCTTTGGAATTAGTTTAGAAATTATGAAAATAGTGACAATTAAAAGATCAGCAAATTTTGCTGTCTTTACCCGTCCGTTTAGAATATTTTAATCTTACCGATAAGGTTTTAGGAATTTTTATATCGAGAGAAGATGTCATCAAAATTCTGAATAAAAAGTGATTGGGTGTTTTTTTGCCTTGCAAATTATGCAATTATCTTTTATTTCATGGATATCGCTATATTTGATAAATCAGTCGTACACTTCAGTAGTACCGGCCTTGGTTATTTCATCAGTTGCAGCGCATGCCGATCCGACATCAAATCTTCAGATCGCAATCTCTGGAATTCTTTGAAGTTTGAGTTGACTTTGACCCCGTCGATTCGATTTTTATGCTAGATCTAGGGGATCTAGGGTCTATATTATATATAAATTATTAAGTCTATATACATTTTCTAGTTGCACCCAATTTGTTCGTAGTAAAAAACTTTGCCATCCATTTGTTTATAACTGAACTAACAAAATTTGTGTAGAGTAAGGGATATCTCTATCTCTCTGTTGTTGTCCCTCTGCTTTTCGGAGATCAGCGAGTTCATCGCGTTCAAAGTAGTAGGCTGCTGTAAATATGCTATATAATCCTTAGTTGAAGGGAATGGAGTGCAGGTGATGGGCATGAATTTTGTAAAGATAGTGAAGTGTCATAAGTCATAGTGTTTAAAATAAAATCATTGACAGTGTAGGGAAGGGATGGATCATATGGCAAGAGAATAGAGCAAGTCAGATGTAACTCCAGGAAGCTCCAACACCGGCGCCGGTTAGTTACTTAGAGTTAGTCAGATGGGCAGGGTCCTGGCTGTTGAGCAGTGGTGTAGTTGGTTCAGAGTCGAGGACATGCTGGAGTCTGCTAACTCTGTCGATAAGGTCTTCCAATAGGTTAACAGTAGCAATACGACATTTCCTAATATTTTCAAAAATCTCTGTGAACTTTGGTCACCCCATCATGATCATACCTCTTCTCTACGGCTACGCGTATGTTATAAAATAATGCACAGATTACACCAACATTTTACAAACACAAATCGAAACAAATGGGACTGATGCAAGCTATAAAAAAAAAAAAGTAACGTAATCATTTAATACTGATTTTCTGCTCTCACAACGATTACTAGTAAACATTTTTATCTTATACTGTGAGAATGATCATTATAACATTTATTGCGGCAAAATAATAATGCAGATTTCACAAGAATCCTCAGAAAATGTGATTAATTGTCCGAAAATAGAAACATACCTCTTTTTATGCACAAACAGACTGGACTACTTTCTGTAGCAAGAACATATCCAGCATACCGCGCGCTAGCTCATATCGCAATCGTGAATCACCTGAAGTAAACTTTACAAAGAAAGGGCAACAATCTTTTACATCATTATTTAATTTGGTTCTTCCTATGCTTCGCATGCATGCAGCGCAGGTTGTCACATCACAGCTCAGCTCTTTGCTCAGTCGTGTGATTTCGTCTCCGTGAAGTAGGAACAAATATTTTTAAAATGGGAAGAAAAGTTGTTTTAGCGACCTGTACCCTGAACCAGTGGGCAATGGACTTCGAAGGAAACTACGAAAGAATCCTGAAAAGTAAGTGTTTCTATTCATGGATCATTTTCATTTTTATTTCAACTTGTTCAAGCTGCCTAGCCCCCGGGCCGCCTAGCCTCAGCTCAGCTCAGCCTAAGCCTCGGGCTATCATCATGATCATCAATGAGCAAGCCGCCCGGCGTGTCGGCCTAGCACTTTTGTTATTAATTGACCGGTCGGTAAAATTCCCACGATCCCTTGAACTCGCTTGGAGCTCGATCAGGACAGACAGGGCAGTTCATGACAAATGAATGGAGATTGTGAGGATGATGACGATGACCATGAGGATGACGATGACGACGATGATGATGATGTATGATGATTGGTGATGATGATGATGAGGATGATGATGATGATGATGATGATGAACAGATGTGTGAATGTGATGTCGATGACGATGGCAATGATGATGATGATGATGATGATGATGATGTTGATGTTGATGATTGGTGATGATGATGTGTGATGATGATGTAGACGATGACAATGACGATGATGATGATGCCTTGATGGTGATGATGATGACGATGATGGTGATGATGATGATGATGTGTGAAGATGATTGATGGTGATATGTCGATCACAAGGTTCCGTTCTTCGAATCCCGCCGCGGAACTAATGTCCTTTGGCAAGAATTGATTATTTGCTACACTCAACCCAGGTGATGTCTGACAGACATGAGCGATATACAAGAACCCACTATTATTATTATTATTATTGATGATGATGATGCTTATGATAAGTTTTGTGATATTTGCTTCTTGCATGTTGTTTGTCATCAAAGGTAGGGAGGGAGGGAGGGAGGGGGAGGGAGGGAGGGAGGGAGGGAGGGAGGGAGGGAGGGAGGGAGGGAGGGAGGGAGGGAGGGAGGGAGGGAGGGGGGAGGGAGGGAGGGAGGGAGGGAGGGAGGGAGGGAGGGGGGGGGGGGGGGGAGGGAGAGAGGGAGGGAGGGAGGAAGGAGAGAGAGGGAGACAGAGGAAGAGACTGAGACCGAGAGAAGGGAGGAAGAGAGAGCTGAAGGAGGGGGGGGGGGACTGAATTTAAATTAACATTGTAGATTCCTACCAATAGTACTAGTAGTGGAAGGAGAGAAAAATCTAAAGGGGAATTTAAACCTCATCGATAAATAAAAGATAAAAGAGAGATCAGCATTTTTTTAAAGGCACTACATTTTTTTGTTTGGTTCTTCAAACAAAATCATATGTGTATGGGTAGGAGATAATTGTCTCTGTCACGGGAGGAAAGGACGATGATTATGTAATGGGCCACTTCCTAGCTGTATGACTCATGTACACCTGTACCTTTTGTTCATCAGGTCTGATAGTTTTTGAACTATTTTCTTTCTCTCCACATGTTTTTTGGCTTGCAAGAACATTAAAGATTCATTGGATGGCTGTGTTTTGCACCGTTTTTGTAATTAAATTAGAAGAGGATGTAAGCAGAGCTTGCAGGTGATGGATAAACGCTTTCGATGAAGCAGAGTACAAACTGTACATGTACACAACTAGAAATTAGAACTTCCAGGCGTGTACTATGCGAGAGTTTCCCTGGAATTTGCGTGCCTTGGCTTGAAAACAAGATCTGTGCTTGCTATGCTTGGTCATGTTAAAGGAAATGATGTCATTTTCGCACAGTGCGGTGTGCATGATCCGCCTACATACATGTACATGTACTGTTTGTGTGTGTGTGCAGCACATGTACAAAATACAAGATTTCAATACTGGTACGCTCAAGATGATGTCATCTCCTTTCAACTCCTCCAAAATATAAGCAGCACCACTACATAATTGTAAACTAAAATTTGTCCTCCTTATATACATGTAGCTCTCATCTTCACCAGCTTTGTGTTCATAATCGTATATTACACAAATCTTAAACCTCATTAAAAAAGTCACAATATTCAAACCCTAGCATATCTAGGTGATCTATTACTAGAACTAGTAAACAAATAGTTTATAGGCTTTTTTAGTTATCGCCCCTAAAACCTGGAACTCCATACCCGAAATTGCCATACTATGGCAGCTGTCAAGAACTGTCTCAAAAACAAATATTAACTATTCAAAAAAGAATATTTCTCATGGGCAATTACTCAATAACATGTGTTGTCAATCATCAAGATTACTGGATCACGGAAAGAAGGAATGCTCAGTCGAGTTTGTCCTGTTGAATCGGATAGTCCTCGATAAATCGAGTGTTTATTCAATCTGTATGAAAAATAAAAGATGAAGAAATCCTTAGCATCATTGCCTTGCGATTGCTAATCACCAATACATCGTTCTGTTAAACCATTAAATATTGACTTTGTGAAACAGGTATATCCTTAGTTTACCACTTGGCATCAAAATCCTCTTTTTGTATTTACCAATTGTAAACATACCTAGCCCTCATGTAAATGTACTTCTTATAATTCACTTTAAATGTTAAATGAATATTTGCAATAAAGATTGAATATCCATTCTAATCTCAACTTGAGTAATGCCTGTTTATTAATTTGTTCCAAAAAACCTGTCCTTATATATTTCGACTACAATCAAAGAAATACAATCATGACCTCTTCAGTCCAAATATTCTCACACTGTAACATCTATCAATGTAAAATTGATACAAAACCAACATCTGTTTCATTTACCCACTTTCTAAATTGAAGTGTTTCTTACAACAAAAACCAGAATAAAAACTTCTCAAATGTTACTGTTAATGCCACCAAATAACTCTATTATTTGATGCATTATTTATACAAGCACATCAACACACATATTTAGACAAATATGGTATTAACCTAACTGACCGAAAATACTCTCGCCAAACCTGGCCATACAAGTTGCGTACATTCCACGCTCGTTAGTTACATTTCATTTAACTCTACATGTCTACATTATATATTTGCTTAATTGCCTCTAAACCAATTGATAATTAATACGTACATCTTTGGCAGGATCTACTCGAAACCGTGGAACACAAATTACCCCTCGCGGAGACATTTGTGACAAAACTGTTACATCAAAAATGGTGGACAAACACGTCCGTTCTCTGACTTGATGATGTGGCTCTGAACTTAGCCGTGACTTACTTTTGCCACGTACCGGTCCCAGATATTCTAAGGTGTCCTTAAAGAAACACATGTGATCTTCTCAAAGGAAAATAAGAAAACTTCTTAATACATGAAAAATCGTCTAAATTCTTACTAGACAAATCACAAATGAAAAAATGACATTTTCACTGAAACAATTACCCTTCAGTTGCTTATGTTTACATTCATTCCCCCATATGGTAAATTAATTATCTTACTTCTTCCTCACCTGAAGACTCTATCAGCATGTCCACACACAAAACAATTTATCCCGAAACTCTATAATGAAACGTTGTATAAAGAGTCATTGTATAAATTCCAGGGTGTCCACACACAAGAAAGTAATCCCGAAACTCTACAACGAAAGTCGTATATGTGCGGTCATGAAATAGAAGCGGAAATGAGAGGTCAGGTCTCCTTTCGCGCGAAGTCACGTTAAGCCCCGCCCAGTTATACCATTCTAGTTCGACTAGTTATGTACGTCCACACACAACACATTCCGTGATTAGGCATGATTCTTTATTGAGTTCTAGTTCGAAACGATGCCCAAACCTGTGTTTCGTTATACGATGTATCGTTAGTAAGCGTCCACACACACAATTTCATCGTATAACTATCCCGAAACTGTATAACTAATCACGCCTAATCACAGAAAATGTTGTGTGTGGACACAGGATTGAGTGATAGGACTATGGGTTAATTGCTGTGTGCTTCACCCATTGATGGTATTTCCACCAAGTCTGGTATTAGCGAATTATGGCCTTTTGCACATGGAAATTGACGACCCTCTCACTTTAAAGATAAACTTGAGTACTGGTAATGCGATTGCATTGTGAAAGAAAAGGTGTGGAATGGATCAGAAAAGTTGATCATAGCATGTAAGTAATGGTGTGTAATGCAAGGTTCTAGAGTCATCAAAATCATCATAAATTTGGCAGAGTCTTGGTAAAGTAACAATCACTTACACAGATAGATGTATATGGGACAACACACATGGTGTCGGGGCTAGTACTACCCTGATTTCCTTATCTTTCTATGCTCATTACTCAGCCAGTAAACATTTTATTCCAAAATTGTTTGGCACATGACATTTATTTGTAATCTTGAACATTCAGTGTAAGTTTTGTTAGATTCTGTCAGAATTCATTTTCTTTTTTTACCAGAACTCAAGTTTATCTTTAACATTCTGTACCTTTTTTCTGAAAAGATTGAATAATCTATTGAATGGCTAGAGTGATACCTACATGTTTGTGCATACTTTCTTTACTGCATGATTGTAAACTTCTATACTGTTTTAAAATAGTGATTTTAAGGTTGATATTTAAAAAAATGAAGGTTCTGAACTTGTGATGTTTATTTCTTGTCTTCCTTCAGGTATGGCTATTGCCAAGGAAAAGGGAGCCAGATACAGATTAGGTCCTGAGCTAGAAATCACGTAAGTAGAATATTAAAAAACAAAACAAAACACTGAACAGAAATGTGTTACAGTTGCAGCACAATCATCACATAAAACAGATTAGAAGACTTTGATGTATAATTTTTTTGACATTATTAAGATGAATTTGGATTATTATTTTATGACAATATCTTCCTTTTTTTAATGCATTTCCCTCTTCTCTTTATTCTTACATAATAATGATATTAACTTGGGTTCTTGTATGATGCTTTAGATGTCAGTACAGTACGTAAATGC